AGAAACAGCACAAGAGAACACTGGGGAAAAGCAGGACATCGCTGAGTTTGTTTGCTTGTTTGACTTCTCACTTAGATCTGCTCTGCAGTCAACTCTGGAAATGACCAGATCCCACAGGTCCCCATCTAGTTCTACCACATTCGGCGATTATTTCTTGGCTTGGATTTCTTTGGGGAGGCAAAAGGAACTAAGAAACTATGATGTTAAAAACATTTAGAGGGAGGAAGCAGGAAAGCAGGGTGGATAGTACATAGTTGAGGTAAATAACCCTTGGGACAGCACATAGATTAATAAGAAGTGGTTAATTTAAGTATTTAAAAAAAAAAAAAGCTAGCTAGAAACAAGCCTAAGCTAAGGCTGAGCATATGCAATAAGTAGTTAGTCTCTGTGTCTTGATTTGGGAGCTGGTCTGCCTACTACATATCGACATCTTTGTAATACTAGTACCTTGAACTCTGACACAGGAGGATCAAGAACTCGAGGGCAGCCTGTCTACAGGAGATCCTGTCCCCCCGGAAAAAAAAGAGAAAGCTCACTAGATTGGGTTGCTTTAGGAGAATTTTGAGTGGTAATAAAATAAATTTTAAAAACTTGAATTCTAGAGGCAGACCTTTGTGTGTTAAAGGTCAGCCTGGTCTATATGGTGAGCTTCAGGACAGCCAGGGCTCCACAGTGAAACTGTCTTAAAAGAGAGTTGGGAGAGAGGGGTTCAAGCTTCAGACACGGAGCAATGGCCAAGCTCCTGGAGTACAATTGAAGTGAGGGAGGAGCAATAATATGAACAAAGGAGTCAAGACCATGATGGGGAAACCCACAGAATCAGCTGACCCAAGCTAGTGAGAGATCACTGACTCAGGTCTAACAAATGGGGAACCTGCATAAGACTGAACTAGACTCCCTTAATATAGATGACAGTGGTGCTGCTGAGACAATATATGAGGCCACTGGCAGTGGATTCAAGATCTAACTCTAATGCACAAACTGACTTAGTGGAGCCCATTCTTTAGGGAGAGGCACCTTTCCCAGCCTAGACACAGGGGTGTGGGGGGTGGAGAGGTGCCTTGGTCCTGCTTCAAGGAGATGATGTCACAAATTTAGTAGATTTCCTAGGGGAGGCCTTAACCTCTCCGAGGAGCAGATGGGAGGGGGGAGGGTAGTGGAAGGAGAGGAGGGAGGGAACTGGGATTAGAATGTGTAAAGTAAATTAATAAAAAATATTTAGAGAAGAAAGGATATTTCTTGAGTCAAAATTAAAGCCAGAATAAACCACCTGTCATGCTTTCCCACTTAGAATCTAGTGTTTTTCCTTAAAACAAAAATCAATGTTGTTTGTTAGTTCATTCCTTCATCCTTTCCCACATGGACTTTTGTGTGTGTGTGTGTGTGTGTGTGTGTGTGTGTGTGTGTGTGTGTGTGTTTTTTGTATATATTTTTGTTTTTTATATGTTTTATATTCTTGGTGTGTGTGTGTGTGTGTATTATGTATATATTCATGTATTCTATATGGTATATACTCTGGGACAATTCCTAACAGTCTGCTCATCAATGCTATTTGCTTAAAGCTTCATTCTTGGTTGATTTTAAATAGGAAGGTTTTTATAAATACAACTGAAGGACTGAAGTTGGGAAATGTGGTCTTTGGTCATTAGATGTATTTCACAGTTTTGTTGACTTTACTCCTTTGGAGGAATAGACTCAGCATTTCACCTTTCTGGACAGGTGTTTCAAGCTTTTGATAAGAGTGACCTGGGCTGTGGAGCAGGCGGTGGCCGTAACAATGCAGATGTATTCAATCTAGCAGGACTCACATTCCTCACCAACGCAAATGCAGATGACTCCCAACACCATGGTAAAACATTCAGCATTTCGATTACTGAGATGTACCTCCAGCCCTCATTTTTTACTTCACTTCCTAGGATGCCATGAATCTGTCAGTCTCCTTGATATTCGTTGTGGGCATGTATCTGGAAATGGGCAGATAAGCAGATCCCTAGAACTCAGCAGCCAGCCAGTCTAGCCAGCCAGAGAGCTCTAAGTTCAGTGAGATTCTGTCCCAAAAAAGTAGGTGGAGGCTACATGGTTCAATGGTTAAGAGCACTGGCTGTTCTTCCAGAGGACCCAGGCTCAATTCCTAGCACCCACATGGCAGCTCACAACCATCTGTAACTCCAGTTCCAGGGGACCTGATTTCTTTTCTGGCCTCTACAGGCACTAGGCAAGAATACAGTACACATACATACATGTAGGCAAAATATCCATAGGCATCAAATACATACATACACACATATATACATAATACATAAACACATATATACATACATGCACACGTATATACATAATACATAAACACATATATACATACACACATATATACATACATACATAAACACATATATACATACACACATATATACATACATACATACAGGTGGAGAGTAATGGAAGAAAACCTCAGACATTGACCTTTGATCTCCACATGCATATGTACACACACACACACACACACACACACACACACACACACACACTTTAAGGTATTTTGTTGGCTTTCAAGATAAAATACAACTTCTTTAGTGTGGTACTCAAAAACTTCCATGATTTTCTTCTTGGCCCTTTCCAACTCTTTCTCCCTCCACTCTTCCTTGGAGACTACATTCCCCCTTATCAGCCTATGAAGTTAGACTAAGAATTAGCACCAGGTGCCATGGTCACATCTGCAAATCCCAGCCACTGAGGAGGCTGAGACAGGAGAACTGGATTTGAGGCCAGCCCTGTCTCAAAAGCAAACAAACCACCTCCTCTGTGGGATCTCTCGTCTGTACAGAATTAACCATGGCCTCCTCTACTGCTGCAGAGGATTTCATATGAGTTAGATCTGTTTATACTCTGCTGTGGAGACCCTTAGTTAAATAATCCAATTTACCTTTGAGTTCTAAAATTCCATGGTTAAACCACACCATTGCTCACCTCTGGCACCATGGGCTCTTTGAGAGCAGATACCACATAGCAATGACCTTCTTTATGTGGTTTTAAAATGTTTAAAATTCTACTTGATACCATGATATTCATCCTCACATTTAAAATAATAAAGCTCAAAAAAACAAGTAAGAGAAATAGGGACCAGCAAGGTGGCACAGTGGGTACCGTGTTGCAAATCCTAATGACCTGAGTTCAATCTTTGGAACCCACACTGTGAAAGGAGAGAACCAGCTGCTGCAAGCTGTGCTCTGCCCTCCACATGCACACTGGCATGTGAGTGCACACAGGCACACACATACACACACACACACACACACACACACACACACACACACACACACACAAATAAGTAAACATTTAACAAAGTTGGAAGAGGAAAAGGTAACTTAACCAAAAAATTGGCTCCTCCTAAATGTAAGCAATGGATCCAAAAAGCAGCCATATTCAAAACCAAGATCATAAAACAGATTACAAGATGCTAGATCTTTGATGAATCGTGTCATATTCAGAGGTGTAACACATAGAGCCTATCTAGTTTTTTTTTCTCTCTCTCTTTACTTATTCTTTTCTCATACAATACATTCTGGCTGCAGTCTACTCTCCTTCACTCCTCCCAGTTCTCTCTCCCACCTCGCCTCTTCCCCAGATCCATTTTCATTCAGAAAAGAGCAGGCCTCCCCCCGCCCCCAGTGATATCAACTAATCATGGCATAACAAGATGCAATAAGACTAGCCACAAGCCCTCATATCAAGCCTGGGAAAGGCACTCAGTAGAATAAAAAGGGTCCCAAGAGCAGACAAGACAGTCAGAAGCACCCCTACTCCCACTGTTAGGAGCTCCACAAGGACACTAAGCTATACAACCACAGCTTGTATGCAGAGGGCTAGTGCAGAGGCAAGCAATGAAAAGCCTAATCTAAATCAGGCTCTTGGTGCAGGCTTGTTAAATAAATCACTGAGGGTGTTTCAAATACTCTCGTGAAACTTATGTTTTTAGATTTTATGTTATCCCCCCCCCCATTTTCTATGTCTCTGTCCTTTTCTAATCAGGTGAATCATGTGAGGAAATTCTCAGACCAAAAAGAGACCTACACCTCCTGCAGCGGACAATAGAAGAACAAGGTACACTCATTCAAAGTTTCCTGTGTCATAATGTAAAACATTATGATCATATCAAAAGCTGTCAAAAATGAAGCCTTGTGGACCTCCCCCAGTCTCAAAAGAATGAGTGAGAAAAGAGGTGTGGGCAGTCTAGGTCACCCTTCAGAAAGGTTAATCTGAACAAAGCCCCGATTTCATTGGCTATACACTTAAATCAGGGACCGCCTGGCTTTACTGCTTGTATCATTATGGCAGGAGACACACAGCTCGGTGTAAAGTTCACCCAGCATGCACAGGCTCTAGCTTCAATATCCAGTACTTGGAGTAAGAAGGACACATTTCTATCTCTAGAAACTAAAAAAAAAGAAAAAAATGACTTATTTGTTACAGTGTTATGAAGTAGCAATGAAAATAATTTAAAGGTTGGGGGTCACTACAACGTGTATTAGGAAGGTTGAAAACTACTGACTTAGATTATTCTTTATAAAATACAGCTAATGAAAATTTTTTAAGCTAGGCATGGTGGCACACTCAGGAGGCAGAGGCAGGTGGATCTCTTTTAGTTTGAGGTCAACCTGATCTACATAGTGAGTTCCAGAACAGACAGGGCTACACAGAGAAACCTTGATTCAGAAAACAAAACAAAACTGGAAATTATTTTAAAAATTACTATGATAATTAACCACCTTTTGGTAATAAAATTTAATTTTACTTACTTATTAGTTTTAATAAATTATCTATAAACATGTAAAGAACATGGACTAGGAAGGATCATCTAGATAAGTTCTGGTGTTTTTTCTAGAATACAAGAAAAGATGATTCCCTTAATGAAGGTCTTCGAACTATGTCAGAAAAATATTAGAAAAAGTAGTATATACAGTTACTGTATAATAACAATAGCCATCGGCCAGCTGGTGGTAGTGCACGCCTTTAATCCCAGCACTCAGGAGGCAGAGACAGGAGGATCTCTGTGAGTTCGAGACCAGCCTGGTCTACAAGAGGTAGTTCCAGGACAGCCTCCAAAGCCACAGGGAACCCCAGTCTTGAAAAACCAAAAAAAATAAATAAATAAGTAAATTATAACAATGGCCATCTTTAAATATGTCAAAGTATTTTGGATATTTAATTTGTTTTACTCAAAAGGTGTTTGAAGTCTTTCAAAAGTTAGTATTTAGCTTAGTTTCCCGAGGTCTTTCAACCATTCAGCGTGAGTGGGAATAGACCACCAGCTGCTCATAGTCTCCCTGCTTTTGGAGAAGTTCCAAGGAGAGGCTGGTCAGTCAGCCGGCTGTGGGTACAGTAGTGAAGGGGTTATTTGATGGTAAGAACCAAATATCCCTCCAGAGTTCTAAATCTGAGATGTTATGATTGTGTGTGATAAGAGTTTGTGTGTTGTCACCATTTCAGCTGCTAAATACAAGCACCGAGTGCCAAGGAAATGTTGTCTTGATGGAGCCCGGCTTAATGAATATGAAACCTGTGCACAGCGAGTTGCCCGGGTCACCATAGGCCCAAACTGTGTCAGGGCCTTCAATGAGTGTTGTATTATCGCAACCAAGATCCGACAAGAAGGTTTCATTAAACCTATGCAGTTGGGGAGGATTCGTAAGTATGAGTTTTTCTACCCGAATCCTGATATGGGGGATTTTGTGTAAATCAATGCTGCTAAGAAAGGCAGCTTAGATGCTTTGGGAAAATTGAAATCAGAAATGATAACTCAATCATATCCAAACTCTTCTCTTATTCTTGGGAATTTGGAGTGGTACAGTTCCCAGTCAAGCCTGGATCCCGATGGGGTGTAAATCTAAAGCCCACTCATTCCCAAAGCTTGAGAAATGATTTTCCCTGTGATCCTCAAGCAGGAGCCTTAGATTAGATAACCCCAATACACCCCTGAATCCTAAAATTCTATGGTTCTGTTATATTGTGACCATTGAAAATGAATCTGTGTTTACACTGATCAAATATAGCAAGACTTCTAAACTGAGTAAAACATTGTTTACTTGCAATAAAACTAGAAGCCTTATTTTAGTTTCAGCCAACAACGTTTTTTAGCATTTGTAAAACTTCTGATGTTTTAAAAACTTTTAAGACCTTCATTTATGCATCATCTTTAAGAAAAGAAAAGAAACAAAAGCAAAACGGCATCTCCCTTTCTACTCTGTTTTACTTAGCTGTGTATCTTCCATATTGTCTATCTCATTTGATACATCCTATGGACATAAATGATATTGCGATTTCTTTAAATCCGTGCTATTAGGGATCATTTTACCATAAGCATGATGTTATATGCTTATTCAAACGCCATTCTGATGAACAATCTAGTACACACATTTTCTTTCACTGCCCAGTTTTCCAACTGGCATCTTCCAGTTGGCTTCAGCTGCATGGTACCCACTCTCTACAAACCCCGTCCCTGCTGAGTCTACACCCTCTCCTAGTCAGTTTGGCCCCCCAAAGTCCCATCTGTGCTGCCACCAGTCTTCAAGGCCACTAGGCTGTGTGGACTCCTCTGCCTGCCCTGGCTTGTGACTGGCCTCTAGGAGGGAGCTGAAGAAAACAGAACTGGCCCATCTGAGGGATCCCAGGCCCATGATGCTTATGCTAATGTCTGAGAACTGTTGTTTCTGATATTGTATCTGGTTTTCTAGGTCTCTGAGACTCAGTAGTAAATCCATAGTCCCCTATTTATGCATCTTATGTGGAAGCAGAAGTCTCATCCATTTTACTAAGGGAAATACAAATTACCAATTAAGTCTGAGATCACAGAAGACTTCCATGTTTTCTGATATAAACCTAATAGCCAAAATCACAAAATTGCAAATAATTTTATAGGCTCACTGATGTTTTGTACAATCTCAGAAAGACAAATCCTCAGATGTTGCTTTGCTGTTTTGTTAGTGTCATTAGTAGAAGTACTCTAGGGCTTTAAAGTTCTGTTTTGAAATCATTAAACACAATGCCTTACTGACCTTTTAGAAAACAGTTAAGACATAGATAAATGATTTTATTTAAAAATTCACCTGTAAGCAGAATTTATACTGGTTTCTATAACTAAATATATATTTCCCTCAGACATAAAGACCCTGTTACCAGTAATGAAAGCAGATATTCGAAGTTACTTTCCGGAGAGCTGGCTATGGGAAGTCCATCATGTCCCCAAAAGGTATCTTTGATACTCCTCTGGAGGAAGATGTGGAAAATTCAAATATTATTGCCCCAAATCTGAACACCTCTATTTTTTCTGTAATTAAGATAATGTCACTTTTAGGCTAAATTTTGCTGTTTTCTCATTTTTGTTTAGTGTAGTTTTGTCTGAGAATTGAGTCCAGAGCAGCATCAGTTATTAGTAAAGAGAGGTACTGCTCTTTTAGTTTATCTTTACTATGCTTTTACTGCACACAGCTATGTGCTATATACCATATTGAGCAACCATTTTCAACATAAAAGTACCTGTTATAAAACAAATAGGTGTAACAAAAATGGAGGTATGTTTTGCTAGGCTCTTTAATTAGAGTTTTCATTTTAAAGGGAAGCCTTTCCATACCAGGTAATGGAAACACTGAGCCCCACCTCATCATTCCTAGGCCAGCTACTTCTGGCTTTGCCCTGGTGCCAAGCCACCATACGCTCTGTGTGCTTCTCCTCCTCCTTCCCACTGTAAATCTTCCTCCTCATGGCTGTCCAATGCTCCACACAACATTGCTCTTTGTTCAGCACTTCTATTAACATCCCAGTACTATCCCTGCACCAAAACATGACTGGATCCATTACTAGTCCCAGTTACCCTGTTGCAGGGATCACTTGGTATTTATTTCAGTAACCTGTTTCCTCCTTTAAAATGTCAAAACCTCCAATGCAAAACCTGAGTTCAGATCTCTATGTTCCATCCAGGACCTGCTTGTTGACTGGACTCTTTCTTGGCACAGTGGTTACACTGGCATGCAGCTCATGTCTGATATCCACATGACTGTCTGCCCCTAGACTGTAAACCAGTAGACAGCAGGACCATAGCTTACAAACACTTACTACTTGCTATCATACTAATGAAGAATCACAAACTTAGTCATTGCCTGAAGGGTCAAGATATGCTAATTGGTTACAGTGTCAACGTTCATTACTTTGCCCCATATTTTAGCACATAATAGGGAATGTGTTTTTCTTTGTACTATATGCTCTGACAGGGCAATATTTCAAAGGTGACTTCTCCCTCCAGTCAGTCTTCACGACACATGGTATCTACAAACCTGAGATGGGTGGGGCAGACACCCATCTTAGACACCCATCTAGATTAGTTTTCCCTTAATAGCTGGTGTAATACTGTCAACTGTATGTTTCACTGTAGCTGAATATTGTATGTGTTTCTCTTCCTGTTTCTGTGATAAAATACCTGGCCAATGTGACTTAAGGGAGGATGGATTCATTATGGTCCCCAGTTCTGAGACCCAGTCCATTGCAGTGGGGAAGTCTTGGGGGCTCAAGCCTGAGGCATTGATGGTTAGGAAGCAAGAATAACAAATGTCCTGGTCAGCTAGATTCTCCTCTTGTGCAACCCAGGGCCCAAGCCTAGGGTATAGCACTGCCATTGTTAGTTGGTTTTGTTTGTTTTTGGGGGGTTGGGTTTTTTTTGACACAGGGTTTCTCTGTGTAGCAGCCATAGCTGTCCTGGAGCTAGCTCTATAGACCAGATTGGCCTTGAACTCACAGAGATCAGCCTGCCTCTGCCTCCCAAGTGCTGGGATTAAAGGCATGTACTGCCACCACCCCTTCAGCACTGCCTACTTTTAGGGTGGCTCTTTACTCCTCAACTAGCCCAATCAAGAAAATGACTCACAGGTATAGTTAGAAGCTAGCCCAGTGACGACAGGCGCACCCAGAGGCTTGTCTTCTGGTGAGTCTAGACCTTGTCAAGCTGGTGATATTAACCATCAGGAATATCAATGTTTGAACTTCCAGAAACCAGATGCGGGTTGTGCTGCCTGACTCACTGACTACCTGGGAGATCCAAGGCATCGGCATTTCAGACAGTGGTAAGAAACCCAGAGTCACATGCTCATCTCAGGAGGGATCAATTAGCCCAGGCATAATTCTTTGTTATTGTAAATTTTGTTTGCCCAGGATATAAGAGGCAAATTTTTAATTTTCTTTCTTTTCAAAAGACTTGAATGTATCTATACCTTTGAAGCCACTGAATTTCTTCTGCTCTTTCATGAGCTGCCAGTTACAGTGCTGGGATCAAATCCCTCACTTTCCACAGTGAGTGGGAGCATGAGGAGAGTTAGGAGTAAACCTATGTCCTCTCCCTTGGCTTATGTCCCCTGGAAGTAACTTAATGCAGATGCTTTATACACAACTACTGGAATACTGTCATTTGTTTAATGTTTTACAAAATCTTAGTCTCCATAATCAAAATTTTATAGTCATTCAGTGGATCCAACAATAAATATCCAAAAAGATCTAGAACTCTAGTTAATAAGCATTCTCATATCTTAAATAGAATTAAATATTTGACAAACAAATGAAATACTATTTTTGTTTGTTTTTTCAAGACAGGGTTTCCCTGTGTAGCTTTGGAGGCTGTCCTGGAACTAGCTCTTGTAGATAAGTCTCAAACTCACAGAGATCCGCCTGCCTCTGCCTCTGCCTCCTGAGTGCTGGGCTTAAAGGAGTACGCCACTAACGCCTGGCTGAAATATTATTTTTAAAGAAAGAGAATGTGACACATTTTAGTGCGCCACCAACGCCTGGCTGAAATATTATTTTTAAAGAAAGAGAATGTGACACATTTTAGTACCAATAAAGTATAATAAGAATTCCCTAATATGACCTTACCTTGCTTTTCATTTGGGTTGAAGGTATATGTGTTGCTGATACACTCAAGGCAAAAGTGTTCAAAGATGTCTTTCTGGAGATGAACATACCGTATTCTGTTGTACGAGGGGAACAGATCCAATTGAAAGGAACTGTTTACAATTATAGGACTTCAGGGACAATGGTGAGTAGTGTTTTATGATGTGTTAGAATAAAAGAGAGAAAGGATATAGTCTTTAGTTGTCTGAGAATGTCATTAAAATACCACACACACACACACAGAGAGAGAGAGAGAGAGAGAGAGAGAGAGAGAGAGAGAGAGAGAGAGAAAGAGAGAGAAACAGAGAGGACTCCAATAAGCACATGTGTGTTGAGTGTTGTCCTGGAAGTACATTTTGGTCTGTTAAGGGGTACAGAAAGGAAGAAGGGATAAAATCTGGCCATGTGATGTCAATCTGACACATAGAAGGTAACTAAGGTACTGTGACTTTCAAAGAAGGACGTTCACGTGTGGTTCATCTGAGTTCCTTGCGACCCTAGATGCTAACAATCTATCCTGTGCTGCATTTTCACTATCCCTGCTCATCTCCTCTTTGTGTTCAACACCTCACCTCCAGCCATCGTCTCCTTGCCATTTTCTAACTAATTATTGCCAATAACTTCCATAGCAAGTCTGAAGCCCATAGAAATCCCCAATCCATTGATTGACTCAAAACCTTTTTTATTATTCTCCAGACTGCCGATGTCTTTACTCTCCTCTTTGTGCAAGATGCTCATGAGTCATCATATAACCATACTGTCTAAAACTACATCAACTCTCATGAACCTCCCTCACTCAGGATCTGAACAGTGAGAAGCTCCAAGCACAGGGAACCTTCCCATTTGTCCTTTCTTTGCAGAGCATCTATCTCTACAACCAGCTATACAATAGGCTGGCAGGTTTCATCACAATAACAAGACATTAGATGGGAACCCAACTCTATTCACAGATCTACCTATGTATTTTAATTTATAGTTTTCTTCTTAGGTCTGAGTATTTCAGTGGTCCCTCACCCAAATATTGTACATATTCACTAAGACTTTTAAAGACTATGCACTCCTCTGGCACACTTTCAAATTGGCTATAGATAATTACAAAGTGGAGTCAGAAATAGGTTGATAACTGGTAGTTTATGGGAGAAAAGTACTCACGCAAGGGAGCCAGTGACCAGGTTTGCACCTGAGCAGGACAGACCCAGAAATGCTTCCCAGTCAGCTCAGCCAAGCGAAAGAGCCACATGGGTGCCTCCCTCCTTCTTAAACTCTTGTTACATAACTTTGACCATGCCCAAGTGGGCTTGGTCAGTGGTACCTGTAATCAGGGATTCTCCCTCAAATTGGCATATAAAATTTTCATCATAAATTTTTAAAAGATGCCAATCTATAACTTTTAAAATAGCTTTAAATATTGAAAATTATATCACCAGTTGAAATAAGACTGTTACATAATTTAAATGTATATAGTGAAATCTAAATAGCAAAGTAATCTATTTTTAAATATTCAATAAGCTCTTCT